GGCCTCTTTCTTATTTCAAGGTATTGACACTAACAGAATAGGGAGTGTCAACCAGTAAGCACATCCCCGGAGGTGAGAAGAGAAGGGTTTCGGCACAATTTATATACAGTTCAGATAATATCAAAGCGGTAAAAAGCAACATTTTGCACATTTAGCATGAAACATGTAGGAAAATCAGATAAAGCCAAATACAACAATATATCTAAGCTCGAATTCTGAACCCTGAACCAGAGATTCTGGGTTCGATCCCCAGCAGAGTCGCCAGAGCTGTCACACCTCCTTTTTCACTACTACACCCCCCGGGAGGGTATAATAAAGGGAGTTATTTCCAACTTGAAGTGACAATCGAAACGGGATTATTTAATTAAAACTCGGAGTCGCCACCTGGGAGATTAATGGTGTCCCAAGTCACCGGTTAAATCCCGATCCGAGGAAATTATGACTCTGTTAACAGTCCGCGAACCAGAACTCCGAGTAAGGAATTCTGTTAACCCAGGAGAAGGTGTTAGGCATTCCCGGATTCCGTGGTTCTAGCACGGTCGCTCAATTGTTGTATTTGCTTTTATCTGATTTTTAAACATATTCTAACCTATGTGCTTTTATTTTAACCGCTTTTATTTTATGTCTTCTTAGTAAGAATTGCAAGGTCGTGAAAATGTGTCTCGAACCACGTCACACCAGTGCGCCTGTGGCTTTTGACGCATTCCAACTTCGTTGAGATTTAGATTTGGGTCACATAAATGTGCACCCGCATTAAGGAAGGTAATATTATTGAAATACGCGCCTAAAGCAACTACGCTTTTATTATCTTTGGGGAAAAATCGCAAAGTTCGCTAAACGGCCCTCCCAAATTCTAATCAGTTTTAACGACCATTTATTGAGGGCCCCGCCTTTGTAGTTTTATTTGGCGAGGCTAGGCTCGTTATTTTATTAAAAGGGCAGCCTAAAAAATGGTCTACGATTCTCTATTTTTGTATTAAAACAAAATTAGGTGTTACCAACTCAATTACAGTTGGCCCAAGAGCCCAATCCAGGTGGTCTGCCACACCTAAACCCATCAGACCTCAAATAGGAGATCCTGGGGTCGATTTCCTGAGTCGAGTGTACCAAGGCCCGTTTAGTTTTACCTTATTCGAGATCGCTGAACACTACTCCATGCTTAACAACTATCATTTCTAACTATCAACCCGTTGGAAACATTTATCGTACGCTTTCAAACTCAGACAAATTCACACTATGATTATACGAAATCAGTAATCCATTGCCAATCAAAAACAACCTGATTTTCCATTTTTCAAAACTATATGAAAGAGCAACCAATGAGAGATTATGCCAAGCTACCATTAACAAACAACATGTTGACAGAATAAAACAGTCTCAATTAACACAATGATAGATTAATGTTTCAGTTATGCTTATTAACTAAATAACTACTACAAACTATCTACAAATTAGCAATCAGCAGAGGCAAACTTCAATGCATAAATTCGACGGAATTTCTTCATTGTACTTCCAATTCAACAGTTACATCAAATCAGTTTCGGATGTGTACCTGGAATTTGCAAAGGAAACAAGAAGGAAAGAGTCAGCAGTAGCACAACAAGGCAGCAGCAATGGAGTTAGCCCAGGAATAACTAAAATAACTAGCCGGATACAGATTCGGACAGCAGAACTATCAAATGACCCTCAGCAATCAATCAGGCAACCAATGCAAGGGTAGATTGAACTCAAAAATACCAGAGATCTCAACAAACACCAACGGCAATAACGAATAACCCACAACAGCTACTTAAGCCTCAAATACTACTTGAAATGCAAACAAACAACCTCAAAAGCAAACTTAATTTCTCCTAGAGCTTTAGTGAAACAGAAGTCGACCAAAATCCAACCCCAGACCAGCTTGAAATAACCAAAACCAACGGCAAACTAACAGTCACACTTCAGAAGAAACTCAGTAAACAGAGGAGAAGAGAACTGGTCAAATTTGGCTAACATCAATGTAACAGTACATAATTTTGATTTTTTGCAGATTTTGTGGTTTTTGGTTTCCTTATTTTTTGAATTTTCTACTTTCAAATCTGGGAACTGAAGAGTACTTTTGGGGAGGGGAATTTTAGGCCTCCAAACTTGTGAATCAAGGCAAATGAATGCCTATTTATAGGTGAACTTAGGGTCCAATTTCAGATTTTCCCTTTACCCATTAGTCCCTATTTTAATTCTATTTTTATCCTTTATTTTCTGACTTGTCACACAAGTAACTACCCTAAGTTTACTGAAATCTGCACTATAGTCCATCCTCGAAGGTTCTATACCCATTACAATTCCTATTCTACCCTTACTTTACTTCAACAATTACCAAATCTGATCAAACTACCCTTTTTCATGCCTAAACTACCCTTAGCATCCCCTGAAATTACTGACCAAGCTAGAATTACCCAGCCCCTTAACCTTAGTAGTAACCATGGTTAATTACCCAAAAGAAAAGAGGAATTCAGCTAAAACCAAACAAATCCTACAGTTGAACTAACTACTCAACCAATTGATCAGAACATGGAACTTTTAACNTTTTAATCACTTATTTTGACCTAAAAGAGGAAAATGGCACAATCTCTGTTCAAATGTCCAATTTAAACAAACAGCCGGTATTGCGGATACGGCCTTTCAGCACTTCATAAGGAAGATTTTAAGGCTGTGCCTGCTAACCGTTTGGAAAATGACTCACGGTGGCTGTTCTTGCAAAAACAGCCTTCCGGCGCCCTTTTGGGGACATTTGGTTTATTTTTGACAAGAATGGCGTCACCCGACTTATTCATAAAAAAAAATTGGCATTTTGGCTAGTTTTGCAAAAAGGGAGGTTGGACCCGACGAGGGTTTCCTACGTATCTCACGTCCGGTGAGAGTCAAACCAGCGTAGTTCGGGCAAATAAATCTAACTATTTTGAAAACAAGACTCTTTTTCGTTTTGGCAAACACACTATTTCTGAAAGTAAGATTCTTTTTTATATTTTCTTTTCAGTGGCAAATAAAATAAACTAATATGAAAATAAAACTCTTTTTGTTTTTCTTTTCCATTTTTCTTTTTATTTTTTTTCATTTTCAAAAATTCGGCAGCATTTCGGCACTACTTGGACATTGGGTTTTCTAATATGGGAAATTAACTCTCTACACTGCTATTTTCTCTCTTTTTTTTTGTTTTTTTTTTTCCAAATATTCAAAGCCGGTCAGCATGCGAGTCCAAAACGGATAAATGCACAAGTAAGATGCATCAGGATGGTCCATTATTTTGGGTACACCTGTCCTAGACGGACCCAACCCCTGTGTTGAGTCCCCTAGGTCATATGCACGTGATGCAAATAAGCGTTCCTACTAGGGATCCGGCATGAAGTCAAGTTATTCTAGGTTCAAAACCTGGGTATGTGTTCTAGACTGTGTACCCGAGCGGACAACTCGAGTCGAGGAGGGGGCTACGTACCGGGAACCAAAAGGCCATCCGGCTTAGTAACTTGTCCGACCTCTTTCTTATTTCAAGGTATTGACACTAACAGAATAGGGAGTCTCAACCAGTGAGCACATCCCCGGAGGTGAGAAGAGAAGGGTTTCGCCACAGTTTATATACAATCCAGATAATATCAAAACGGTAAAAAGCAACATTTGCACATTTAGCATGAAACATGTAGGAAAATCAGATAAAGCCAAATACAACAATATATCTAAGCTCGAATTCTGAACCCTGAACCAAAGTTCTGGGTTCTCGATCCCCAGCAGAGTCGCCAGAGCTGTCACACCTCCTTTTTCTACACCTGTGAGGGTGTAAAGGAGTTTTTCCAATTAAAGGACAGTCGGAACGGGATTTATTATTAATATTCAGAGTCGCCACTTAGGAGATTAATGGTGTCCTAAGTCACCGGTTGAATCCCGATCCGAGGAAATTATGACTCTGTTAACAATCCGAGAACCAGAGCTCCGAGTAAGGAATTCTGTTAACCCGGGAGAAGGTATTAGGCACTCCCGGGTTCCGTGGTTCTAGCACGGTCGCTCAACTGTTGTATTTGCTTTTATCTGATTTTAAAACATATTCTAACCTATGTGCCTTTTATTTTAAGCGCTTTTACTTTATGTCTTTTAATAAGAATTGCAACGATGTGAATATGTATCTCGAACCACGTTACACCAGTGCACCCATGGCTTTTGACACATTTCGACTTCGTTGGGATTTGGATTCGGGTCACATAAATGTGCACCCACTTTTAGGAAGGTAATATTATTAAAATTCGTGCCTAAAGCAACTACGAGTTTATTATATTTGGAGAAGACCGTGAAATTTGTTAAATGGTCCGCCCGAGTTCTAAGCATTTTATATAGCATCTATTGAGGGCCCCGTGATTTTGCATTTTTTATTGGCGAGGCTCATCTCACTTTATTATTTAAAAGGCAAACCTAAAGAAACTATGATTCATCTATTAAGTCTTGTCTCTAAACGGCCCTAATTAATTAGTATTGATGTACTTTCAGTGTCTTGGGCCTCAAAGCCGGCCCTAAACAAATTCAGCCGTACTCATAAGAATAAAGTTGCCCAAACATGGGCCCTGTACAAGCAAATTCCAGGCCCAAGTCTGGTCAGAGTAGGGGCCGTCAGGTTTGGCTCATAAGTGAGTCCAGATCCAATATGAAGCTTCATTGGGCCCTTTGGATTCTAATTTCAATCACAACTTGCTAACAGATAAACAGTTTGGAATTCACAACTCAACGTAAATTTCAAAATTGTTTGCATACCATTAATTCTTGATTTTGGCAGTCATTTAACCCGGGTTAATACTTTTCAACACAAATTAGTCACTGTCTAAACCTGAATGTATTTCCAATGTTCATTTCTGATTTCAATTAATCAATATGACAAGCACACTAAGGTAATCAATCCTTATGGTCACAAATGACACTTTGAATTTCAGTGAGAGACGCACAAGCTGCTTCCAGATTCAAGTCAAGGCAATATGTTCTAATGTTTTTAATAACACTAAACCATCACTATTAAGCCACTGTTACACCCTGAACGTAAATCTCAAATATGGCAATAAACTATAGTTAATCGCATCTAATATTATTCAACAGGGTAACCATAGAATTTGACAGAAAATGCAGCAGTTCAGTATGGTCTGTAAAGTCCTAATTAATACATTTCAATCATTGCTTAAATAGATCAACTAAACCAAAAGGCTAAGCTAAACAACAGCTATCAAATAGTTCTTCATTATGCAACTTCAAATGTGTGCATACATGCTGATATGGCTCCAATATCTTTTGAGTCTAAGGATATACCTGGAATTAGAACAGAAATGAAGAAGAGGTAAGTCAGCTAAGCAGTAGCTAACAGCAGCTCAAACGCAAAGCAGCTAGATCACTTTCAAATCCAAAAAAAACACAGCAGACCCAGGAATGACATTTTTAACCTTCTGTTGCACTGAAACTTGATCTACAAGTGAAATTCAAACTTGATCTAAGAGAGTCCCAAGAGAGCAGTAAATTATTCTTTTTTTTTTTGATCTGTCTACTGTTTTTGTTTTTGGTTTTTTGAACTTTTTTTTTTTGAATTTCAGACTTCAGATCTGTAAACACTTTGGGGGGGGGGGGTGAATTTTAGACCTCAAAACTTGTGAATCAAGGCAAATGAATGCCTATTTATAGGTGAGCTTAGGTCCAATTTCAGATTTTCCTTTTACCCCATTGGTCCCTATTTAATTCTATTTTTTATCCTTTATTTTCTGACTTGTCACACAAGTAACTACCCTAAGTTTACTGAAATATGCACTATAGTCCATCCTAGAAGGTTCTATACCCATTACAATTCCTATTCTACCCTTACTTTACTTCAACAATTACCAATCTTAATGAAACTACCCTTTTCCATGCCTAAACTACCCTTTGAATCCCCTGAAATTACTGACCAAGCTAGAATTACCTGACCCAGCCCCTTAACCTTAGTAGCAATCATGGTTAATTACCCAAAGAACAGAGGAATTCAGCTAAAACCAAACAAACCCTACAGTTGAACTAACTACTCAACCCATTGATCAGAACATGGAATTTCTAACTAAATTGTTAATCCAGACTAAGCTAATTCACCAAACAAGTCAGTGATTCAAACCAAATTGAACTGGAGTCGAATCATTAATGACTTACTCACTCGACCGGCAGAAAATCAAAGCAAAATTGAACCAAAAACTAAAGACTAAAGTCAGCATCAATTATTATTAAGAAGCATTAATTAAATGAAAGAAAAATCTACTGACTTACTCCAACATTAATCCTACGCCCTAGCACACTGATTAACAACAAAGAATTATGATGACAAAGCTTAAACGAACCAAATTCATGTTGTATACTATTAGAATTCAGCCGACATGAACAAAATAGAAACAATAAGGATTACTGGCTCTAAAAGAAACTCGAATCGATTATTCATGAAGCAAAACAATAATGAGAGTGAAGTTAAATCAGATAACTAAGCAACAACCTAAAGACTATAGGAAACTTACTGGTTTTAACTTCTAAAATCTTGCCACTTCTCAGATTCAAAATTCGAACATCTCCGGTGAGATTTGAATGCGACGGACGATGGATTCAACATGAGGGAAGCGAGGGGAGCACATGGCATCGATTTGGTGAGGTTTGGGAAAATTAGGGTTTTGGCCGGAACTTTGATCGGAGATTCGAGGAGTTCGGCGAGGATTCGAGGGACGGGGTTTGGGGGTTTGGAAAGAGGAGACCAAGGCGGTTCAGGGGTGTTAGTTTGGACGAGTTTGGGGTGACCACCGCCGGACACGGCGGAGACGGTGACGGTAATTTTGAAGATTCGAGCAGATTGGCTAACATTCGAGGGAACATATTTTGGGCAATAAAAAGTGGAGGGGGAGAGGAGTCGATGGTGAAAATTTGGGTGGGTTTGGAGCTTGACCGCCACCGTGAGCGATTTCCGATCGGCGGAGGGACGGTGGTAGACGGTGGTGTTACGGTGGGCGACGGTGGAGTGTGGCGGCGTTACAGGGTCTTTGAGGGATGGGGTGAGAGAGAGAGACGAAGGGGTGGGGGGGTAGAGGTTCGAACATATATATATCAAATGCCCACTAGTTAAGAGTCGTTGGATTAAACTACCTCGACGGCCCAGATCAATTACGACCTAAACGGGGTCGTTTCAGTTAAGGGGAAAGACCGGACCGGGCATGGGCTAATTGGGGTGGGGCGTTTTTTTGTTTGGGCCTGGGTAATTTGGCCCAATTCTTGCCATTTCCTTTCCTTATTCCTTTATTTGTTTTCTTGTATTTTAATCACTTTGCTTTTGTATTTTATTTTTTGTATTTTGTATTTATTTATTTATTCTGATTTTATAAAATGATAAAACTAAAATGAAACCTAATTTATTTTCAAAATTAAGCTAATTAATTCCTATTTAAAATAAACTCAAGACAAATTCAACAACTAACAATTAAGAAATGCAAAAATGGACTATTTTTGTTATTTTCTTTAAATTTTGTTCTAAAAACAACTTAACCACTAAATAATCCTTAAATATGAAATTAGATCCTAAATGCAAATGTCAGGCGTATATTTTTTATATTTTTCATATGAAATAAAAATGCACAAACAAAAATGCAAACAATTAACAGAAAATAACACAAAATTCACAAAAGTATAAAATAATGAAAGAGAAATTATTTTGTTTGCATTTTTGGGAATAATTCATATATAGGGCAAAAATCACGTGCTCACATCTGCGAACTAGAAATTCTGAATAAGGAATTCTATTAACCCGGGGAAGGTGTTAGGCACCCCCGGATTCCGTGGTTCTAGCACAGTCGCTTAAACTATTACAATTGGCCCCTTTATCTGATTTTAACACATGTTTTAAACTATGATACAATTTTAAATTATTAAACCATTTTTATTTATTTTTAAGAAGATTTCAACGTTATCTAAAACGTATCTTTGAACCACGCCACATGAAATGCACCCGCAGTCCGAGACACATTTTGTTTAACGTTGTGAGATTTGGATTTGGGTCACATGAAATGCGCACCCGAGTTTAGGAAGGTAAATTATTAAAATAACACGCCTAAAGCAACTACGCGTTGTTAACTTTGCGAGGGCCATGGAAAATTTGCTGAATGGCACACCTCGAGTTCTAAGGATTTTAAAAGAAATAATTAAATGAGGACCACGCATTTGAGACTTTATTTGACGTGGCACACCTCTATTCCAATTTTAAAGGAAGCTCGAACCAAGCTTTTGAGGGCCATAAACTATATCTTACTTAATATGGCATGCCTCAATTTATTTTAAAAGATTTGTACTTAATTAAACAACCTATGGATGATCATGAATTGTTCTTACTTTTTATTATACGCCAAAAAATCACAAAAGAAAACAACCTGCTTCAGTCATCAAATTTAGCCTTCTTTAAGCTATTTCAGTCACCAAATATAGCCTTATTCCCACTCAATTATGATGGAAGCTATGACGTAATAAGCAGAAGAACTTGATTTACCACTAACACTATTGAGATCTTTCTTAATATATGGTCAAAGAGTCAAAGATCTTGAAATCAAAGTAGTACTGGTCTGCAGTCATTCCACCTTGACTTGTAATTGCTCTAAATGCAACAACATGGGAATGTGTTCTAACAATAAACTCCCAAAGCTTGAGGCAAGCAATAATTTTTGACTGAAATAATTTGAGATGAAGGGCAAGTGTCGAACAGACCAAGCAAGGAGGAGGCAGTACTAAGATCATAGAGCAAATCAAAGAAAGAGAAGTCCATGAAGCCAAAACAAAATCAGAGAGAAAAACTTCAAACATGAGCTCATTTCATTTGAAATAATTTACCTACAAACCAGAACAACTGAAGCACGCTAGTGTCGGAGATTCCCACATCAACTATCATTTCCGGTAAATTCGAAAATCAACATAATTTCTAATTGGCAAACTTTGACAGAATATAAATTGAATTAACCCAAACCAAGGAGATTATCACACAAGCAAAATAGCGTAGAGCAACATTTCGGATTTAATCTTAAAGTAAGCATTGCAACTGTTAATCAAATCGACACACAGTAAATTTAAAAAGCTCAAATTAACATCTGTGAGTTATGGCTTCAAAGCATAATCAAATTCAGCACTAAGGAGAGTTTTAACACAAAATATGAGCAAAACAAACGTCATACGGATCTCAAGTAGATCGACAGCTCATTTTTCATTGAAGAACATTCAAATACATCCGGAGTTTTATGTGTTTACCTTTTCGCTAGCAGAAACGAACAACAAACGCCATATGAAGGCTGATATTGAAGGTCAGCGTTCATCTACGAATTCAGCATAGCAAACCGCAAAACAAGCACTTATCACAGCTCCAAAATCACTCGGATTTCTAGAAATTGCAGCAGAAGAAACGGGAAAGAACTGGACCAGATTTGAAACTCTTTTGTCATTTAAATTTTTTTACCTTTTCTTTGCTTTTTAAAACTCTTGAATTTCCTAGATTCCCGAATTTTGTAGGCACATTTTATCGTGTGTGAATGTGAAGGTCTTCTTCGTCTGTGTCGAGAAGTGAAGGAATCAAAATAGAATAAGGGAGCTCAGATTTGCGCCGTTCTCTGTTCTGTGAGCAATAGAACGATGAAGAAGAAAGAGGGGAACGGACGCTTCGGAAGGGGATTAGGAAGGTCCTCTCATGGCTGAAACTTGAGGTCCTCCTTGAAGTCGATGTTCACTGTATTTTTTGGGGAAAGGGTCTCTCAGAGCCGCCGCCTTTAAATTTCTCTCTGGCTCTTAGGGGTCTAATGATCTGATCCCTTAGGTTATTAGAAAGGGGTTTTAAGTAGAGGGGATTTGGGCCGGGTTATTTTAGCTTTTGGGCTTGGGTTGGACAGATTTTGGTGCCATTTATTTGGGCTGGTTTGGGTATTAAGACTAACCCAAATGAAAGACCCCTCTTTTACTCCTTTTTCTTTTCTTTTTCTCTTTTTTTTAATTAAAATCCTACATTAAAAAAAACTCCTAAATTATCCAAAAGCGTGAAATTAACNTTTTTCATTGAAGAACATTCAAATACATCCGGAGTTTTATGTGTTTACCTTTTCGCTAGCAGAAACGAACAACAAACGCCATATGAAGGCTGATATTGAAGGTCAGCGTTCATCTACGAATTCAGCATAGCAAACCGCAAAACAAGCACTTATCACAGCTCCAAAATCACTCGGATTTCTAGAAATTGCAGCAGAAGAAACGGGAAAGAACTGGACCAGATTTGAAACTCTTTTGTCATTTAAATTTTTTTACCTTTTCTTTGCTTTTAGTTGAACAAATGGAGAATGGCTGAACAATTCTTCAAGGTAAATAGGATTTCTTTCAGCCGCGATGATTTTCCCCTAGAGGGAGCCACCCACCACAAAGCCCTTCACATGACTTTCAAATGTGAGGACTATTATGTAAAGAGAGTCATTCTAGATGGTGGTTCCGAGGTCGACATTTGCCCTCTCTCAGCGCTCTAAAGGATGGAGATTAGAACAGAAAGAATTCGACCAAACAATGTTTGTATGCGCGCTTTTGATGGTGTCAAGCGAGACATAATAGGGAAAATTGATTTGATTTTGACTATTGGCCCCGTGGATTTTGAAGTGACTTTCCAGGTTCTGGACATGGACACCTCATACAATTTTCTCCTAGGAAGACCATGGATTCATGCTGCAGGAGTTGTGCCCTCCACTCTCCATCAAATGGTCAAATTTGTATATGAAAACCAGGAAATTGTTGTCCATGGGGAGGATGAACACTCCATTTACAGGGACCTTTCAGTCTCGTGTCTTGAAGCTAGGGAAGGAAGCGAGCACATTGTATACCAAGACTTCGAAATTGTGGTAGTTGACCGATGCGAAGAAGGGGCCACGTTCCCTCAACCTTGCTTATCTAATGCCTCGGTCATGGTCACCACTAAAATGATTAGATATGGGTACAAGCCCAGAAAGCGGCTCGGGGTATCTCTACAAGGTATCACAAATCCCATCACTTCGACCGCCAATGAGAAGTTCTTCGGCATAGGTTTGCAAGCTACAAATGCCGACGGAAAATGGGCTGATGAGCGCAAAGAAAATGGGTGGGTCCTTCCCCAGCCCATTCCACATCTCGCCCGGTCATTTGTCAAACCTAAATATACGGAAGAAGAAGAAGAAGCGGCCTTCACGGCCGAAGAGTTTGATGATATTTTTGAAGCCATGAAACAAATGTTGTATGAGTCTCACATGGTTCAGCTTGGGGAAGGCACGAGCAATGCCGAGGTGATGTACATGGGACCAGATGCCAGGCTTCGAAATTGGAAAGCTACCCTATTCCCTATTAGACGGGAGTCCCGGTAGTCCCGTCTTTCCATCTCTTCTACATTACGACTTATTCCAGGGTGTAACTCAAATGTTTTTATTTTATTGTCTTTGATTTTGATGCAAACCCTCATATATTCAATTCATGAAATGGAATGAATATTTCATCGTAAATGGATGTCTCCATTTTCTTTATTCTGATTTGTGTTATTTTTCTTATCTTTTTTCTTTTTAATTCTAATAATGCGGACTTAAATAACATGACATGCTTGCGGACTTCATGCCCAGATCCTAAAATATTGTCTAATTGTGAAATAATGAATCAAGAATCACAATATGATGAAGATGAGGCTTATAGGAAATAAATCGAGAATTGGAACAATTTGAGAATAAGCCTAAGCCAAACTTAACAGAAAATGAGCCAATTAATTTGAGCAGTTCAGAAGAGGTCCGGGAAACCATGATAAGCATTTACGCCGATGAAAGAACTGGAGATGCATTGATCCAACTTTTGTTTGAATTCAAAGACGTGTTTGCATGGTCCTATGATAATATGTCAGGGCTGAGTGTTAATTTGTTGGTACTTAAATTGCCAACTTATCCTGGTTATCCACCCGTCCAACAAAAGCAGAGAAAGTTTAAAACGGACATTAGTGATAAGATCAAAGAAGAAGTCACCAAATAATCAAAAGCTGGGGTGATCCGAGTGGTCCGATACACCACATGGTTGGCTAATGTGGTCCCGGTGCCGAAAAAAGATGGGAAAACTCGAGTGTGTGTTGATTATCGGGACTTGAACAAAGCAAGCCCCAAGGACAACTTTCCATTGCCAAACATTCATATTCTTGTTGACAACTGTGCCAAACATGAGATACAGTCTTTCGTGGATTGTTATGCTGGGTATCACCAGGTTCTGATGGATGAAGAAGACGTAGAAAAGACGGTTTTCACCACACCGTGGGGCACTTACTATTACAGAGTCATGCCATTTGGTTTGAAAAATGTCGGAGAAACTTACATGAGAGCTATGACTGCCATCTTCCATGACATGTTGCACCAGGAAATTGAGGTGTATGTGGATGATGTAATCATTAAATTCAGAATGCAAGAAGGTCGTGTGCGAGATCAGAGGATATTCTTTGAGTGTCTGCGCAAGTATGATTTGAAATTGAACCCGACTAAATGTGCATTCGGAGTTCCATCTGGGAAAATCCTCGGATTTATAGTCAGCGGAGGTATATTGAGCTAGATCCAACAAAGATAAAGTCTATTCGGGATTTGCCACCTCCCAGAACCAAGAAAGAGGTCATGAGTCTGCTACGAAGATTGAATTACATCAACAGATTCATCGCTCATCTCACCACCACTTGTGATCCCATATTCAAACTATTATAGAAAGACGCGGCAATCAGATGGATAGATGAGTGTCAAGAAGCTTTTGATAAACTCAAAGAATATCTGTCAAATCCGCTAGTGTTGGTTCCGCCTGAGCCAAGAAGACCTTTGTTCTTGTACCTGACAGTCTTGGAAAATTCTTTCGGCTATGTCCCGGGGCAACATGATGTGACCTGGAAGAGAGATCAAGCCATATATTATATGATCAAGAAGTTCACCAGTCATAAAGCCAAGTACACAGAAAGAACTTGTTGCGCCCTAACTTGGGTCGCCCAGAAGCTCAGACATTATCTTTTGGCCTACACCACATATCTCATAACCAGAATGGATCCTCTGAAGTACATATTCCAGAAACCAATGCCCACGGGAAGGTTAGCAAAATGGCAAGTCCTGCTTACTGAGTTCGACATTGTCTATGTCACCCGCACAGCGTTAAAAGCTCAAGCCTTGGTGGATCATCTAGCGGAAAACTCGGTCGATGATGAATACCAACCTCTAAGCATCTATTTCCCAGACGAGGAAGTGAACTCAATTGAAGTAATTCCAGAGGACACCAATGCTTGAAAAATGTTCTTTGATGGAGCTATAAATGAAAAAGGTGTCAGGATTGGAGCAATTCTGATTTCGCCCACAGGTCAATATTATCCGGCCACAGCCCGGCTTCGGTTTTTCTGTACAAACAACACCGCTGAGTATGAAGCCTGCATTATGGGCATAAATATCGCAGTTGATCTGAATATGGATGAATTGTTAATCATGGGAGATTCTGATTTGATCAATCGGCAAGCCCAAGGTGAAAGGGAAACTCGAGACATCAAACTCATCCCATACAGGCAACATGTGGAAGATCTTAGCAAACGGTTCAAGTCGATCGAGTTCAGGTATATTCCTCGATTCCACAATGAGCTAGCAGATTCACTAGCTACTTTGGCCTCAATGCTGCCGTATCCGCTCAATATCCGCATTGACCCGCTGGAAATCCAAATCCGAGAAAGGCGTGGTTATTGTAATGCAATTGAAATAGAACTAGATGTTCAGCCATGGTATCATGACATCAAAAGGTTCTTGAAAACAAAGGAATAACCCGAGCAGGCAAGTGCAGATCAAAAGAGAACTATTAGAAGGCTTGCCAGCAGTTTCTTTTTAAGCGGAGAGGTCTTGTACAAAAGAACTCCGGATCTGAATCTTTTGAGGTGCGTAGATACCCGAGAAGCTGAAAAGATCATGAACAAAGTGCACTCGGGAGTATGTGGGCCCCATATGAACGGATATATCCTTGCAAAGAAAACCCTCGGGCAGGTTATTACTAGATGACCATGGAAAAGGATTGCTTCAGTTTCGTCCGGAAGTGCCATCAGTGCCAGATACACGGTGACATGATCCATGCACCACCTTAAGAGTTACATCCTATGTCACCACCTTGGCTGTTTGTTGCCTGGGGTATGGATGTTATTAGGCCGATTGAGCCGAAAGCTTCAAATGGGTACAGATTCATCCTGGTTTCCATTGATTATTTCACAAAGTGGGTTGAAGCACTCACTTTCAAAGCCGTCACTAAGAAAGTAGTGGTGGACTTTGTGCATTCTAACATTATTTGTCGTTTTGGTATTCCTAAAACTATCATTACAGACAATGCTACAAATCTGAACAGGCACTTGATGAGGGAGGTATGCGAATAGTTTAAAAATATGCATCGTAACTCTACCCCTTATCGGCCCAAAGCTAATGGCGTTGTTGAAGCTGCAAACAAGAATATCAAGAAGATCCTCAGGAAAATGATTCAAAGTTCTAGGTAATTGCATGAAAAGTTGCCATTTGCACTACTGGGATATCGTGCAACTGTGCGCACATCAGTTGGTGCCACGCCCTATTTATTGGTTTATGGCACTGAAGCCGTAATACTTGCAGAAGTTGAGATTCCATCTCTTCGAATCATTGTTGAAGTCGTGATCGAGTACGATGAATGGGTCAAAACCCGATTGGAACAATTAACCATGATTGATTAAAAGTGGATGGTCGCAGTCTACCACGGGCAGTTGTACCAACAAAGCATGACCCGTGCCTACAACAATAAGG